TGTTGACCAGGATGGTCTCGATCTCTTGACCTCGTGATCCACCCGCCTCGGCCTCCCAAAGTGCTGGGATTACAGGCTTGAGCCACCACGCCCGGCCCCCAACTCAGGAATAATTTCCGTGTGGCAGCCTGGAGGCAGAATTCCTTCTTCTTTAGGAAACCAGTCTTTGCTCATAAGGCCTTCAGCTGATTAGATGAAGCCCACCCATACAATGCAGAGTAATCTCCTTTACTTAAGGACAACTGATTGTAAATATTAATCACATCTGAAAAACACTTTTACAGCAACATTTAGACTAGTGTTTGACTAAACAATTGGTTGCCATAGTCTAGCCACGTTGACACATAAAATTAACCATTACGTGGGCAAATTCCGGGAGATTTAAGCTCCTTTATAGTGAGATACACAGGATTCTTAGCCCCCATAAGAAGCCTGGGCAAGGTCAGACCTTCCTAAACTCTCATTCTCCTCCATATGCAGATCCTAAGCTCAGGGTTCAGCCTTAGCCACAGGCAGGGTGGGTTTCAGAACAGCGGTGGAGCCCCCGGGCATCATATTATGAACGCCGGAACAGAGCACCACTGACTTCCAGGACAATTTTCCAGCTCGTGTTAGGCCACCCAGCTCTTGCACTAGCTCTGCCCACTCCTAGTTCTCTCTCCAGCACCTGCAATGCACGGGGTGTTGCCTATCAGGGGTCTTCCTTGCTTTCTACTGCAAAACATGTGACGTTACATCTCCTTCTTAGATGTGCAGTGTCCATTTCCTCTCTGGGACTCTTGCTTTCACATTGAAATGTGTCTATCTACATGTGTTCATCTCCAGGCATGCATGTGTTTGTTTATTCACTCAACAAGCATTTAATGAGCACCTATTTTGTGGAGGTTATGCTAAGCACTGAGAATATGAAGTGGAAGAAAACGTGATCCTGCTCCATATTAGTCCATGTTGCGTTTCTATAAAGGAATACCTGAGGCTGAGTAATTTATAAAGAAAGGAGGTTTATTTGGCTCACAGTTTTGCAGGCTGTACAAGAAACATGGCACCACCATCCACATCTGGTGAGGCCTCAGGAAGCTTTCACTCATGGGGAAAGGTGAAGAGGGAACAGGCACACCACATAGCGAGAAAGAAGGCAAGAGAGATGCTGGGCTTGTTTAAACAACCAGCTCTCCTGTGAAAGAACAGACTGAGAACTCACCCGTTACTGTGGGAGGACACCAAGCCATTTGCAAGGGTCTGTCCCCATGATCCAAACACCTCCCACCAGGCCCCACCTCCAACATTGGGAATCACATTTCAACATGAGATTTGGAGGGGATCCAAATCCAAACATCTAAACCATATCCTCGCCTGGAGCTCACAGCCGACTGGTAGAAACTGGCTTGGAAACATTCAATATGACAAGTCCTGTGGAAAGTTCCAAGCCCTGGCACTGGAGGAGCCCAGAGAAACGGTTACAGGGCTAGCTTCCTGGCGAGGAAATCCTAAACACTGAGGCCTAAAGGATATGCTGGAGTTAACCTGGCAAAGATGCAGAATGAGCAGGAGATGACTTTCAGGTTGGGGAATCAGCGTGGGGAAGGGTGGGGTGTGGAGAGCTCTTGTCGCTGCATGCTGGGCACAGAGCGAGATTAGGAGGCGCCTCATGAGGGCATCAGCAGCTCTGACTGTTACACTCTAGGCATGGGAGCCATGGAAGAGTTTGCGACCAGGACGCTCCCCTTCACTTAGAACTTCTTCCTAGCCATGGCTCTTGTGGTGCTTGCTTTGACCTTTTTAGTTGTCCTGCCTCTGTGCCATTCCAGTGCTGTGGGAGGAGGGGAGGTAGTCAGTGCTCCCAGCAGGGAGCTGGCGGGGTCTCCTCACCTAACCCGGCCTTGCTCCTTGCTATTCTACTGCAGGGAAACACGGGAGTGCTCCTGGGCATGTTTCTGGTGTCCTTCGTCATCCTGGTGGCCCTCGTCACGGTGCTGTCTGGCATTGGTGTGGGGGAGCGCAGCAGCATCGGCAGTGGTGGCGTCTACTCCATGATCTCCTCGGTCTTGGGTGGGCAGACGGGAGGCACCATCGGGCTGCTCTATGTGTTTGGACAGGTGAGTCCTGTGCCCGGGATGCTTCCCCTGCCTGGCTGTCTGCCACTTTCTTCTTGTCCATTTCCTCACTTGACCCGGTGAGAGGGTAGGGTGGGGACGGTTGCCCCATGTGACAGATGAGCAGGCTGGGGCTCTGAAGGCTCTCTCAGTAGAGAGCCAAGCCACCATCCAGGGCCTGACCCCTTAGTCTCGCACTCTTTTCCCTCCGTTGCTCCCGCCTCCTGGATGCCTGATGTGGCCAGCAGGGCCAGTCCTGGCCAGCATATTCTTGCTGTTCAATCTAGGGACCGGCATGCATGACAGTGGCTGGAGCCCAGGTGGCAGCTGGGCGGCCTGGGACCGGGGGTGCTTTTTTACTGAAGAGGGGTATTTGGCTGTGCCAAAAGGGCTTTCCTAGAAGCAGACACTTCTCAAATGAGCTGGAGCTCCCAGGCACGTTTGGTAGCTTGGGTGGCCGTCACAGGGAGGCCGACAGCCCCTCGGGCGGACGCCCTGTCTGAGAGGGAGAATGTTAATGCGGAGACTGCTTCAGCAGAGTGGACGAAGTCACTTCCACAACGAGCGAGCAAGGGGAAACCCTAAGGCTTTTTTAGCTAAAACACAGGCATGCTGACTTAATGCTGAGGGAACAAAGTACAGACATTAAGAAGCAGTTCTTTGTCAGCGTTTCTTGGATTGAAAAAGGCTTTTATGAGAATGCAAGTGGTGGTGGGTGGTTGAAAAAACAGTTTAAAGAAAAGAATTTGTCTAAGTAAGAGTGTGCAAGAACCTCCCAGAGAAAGCATCGGTTTTGTTTCTTTTATTTTTAGGCAGCAGGAGCAGGGTGTTACAGCATAAATACATCTGATTCTCAAACAGCACAGAGCTGCGTATGTGCATGTGTGGGCGGTGGGGTGCGTGTGTGTCTAGGACAGTGCAGGGAGGGCAGATGGATGGCCTCAGCTCTCTTAAAAAGCACTAGCCTTGACTGCAGAAAGGTCGTTAAGTGTAGTAGTTTGAGAGGGGAGTAATAAATGGCCAGTTTATTTTATTACCCTGGGGATTTGGTATATAGATTTTTTTTTTTTTTTTTTTTTTTTTTTTTTTTTTTTTTTTTTGTCTTTAGTTTTATAACATGATCTCGGCTCACTTTATTTTTTTTTTTTTTTTTTTTTTTTACTTCTCTGCTTTTTTATAGCCAACTAGGCTGCAAGGTAGGCAAAGTCCTGTTTTCCCCCTCTTGGGGAAGACACCAAGTGAGCCTCTAGAAGCAGATGCCATGGTTGGGCACTGGCATGAACATTCCTGGACAATGAGAGGGAGTCAGGCTGCTGAGAGTCCCCCTTATGTGGGCTGATTTGGAAAAAAAGATGCTCACAAGTAAGATGTTTTCTAAGTGCTGGCAGCCACAGCCTGAGATGCCAGTGCACCAGCATCCCAGCTGTTTCGCCTTCTTTCCACTTGGGCCTTGGTCTGAAACATAGAGTCCCCCTGGTCCTTGTCTCTGGAGTGCCTGTGCTTTGTTTGTGACTGGCCCAGGCCGGGAATCCCTGATCGGGGTGTGGTTACTGTGTAATCCTTTTTCTTATAAATTGCTGTATTTGGTTTGTTAGCATTTTGTGGAGGATTTTTGTGTATATATTCATGAGGGATATTGGGCTGCAGTTTTCTTCTGATTCTTTGTCTGGTGTTTGTGTCAGGCTAATTCTAGCCTCATAGAGTGAGTTGGAAGTGTTCCCTCCTCCATTTTTTGGAGGAGTTTGTGAAGGATTGGTGTTAATTCTTTAAACATATGGTAGAATTTTGCCATGAAGCCATCTGGTCCTGGGTTTTGCTTTCTTTTTCATGGTAGAAACGTTTTTGGTTACTTATCGAATCCCTTTACTTATATAGGCATATTCTGATTTTCTACTTCTTCTTGAGTCAGTTTTGACAGCTTGTATCTTTCTAGGAATTTGTCCATTTCATGTAGGTTATCTAATGTATTGGCATATTAATTGTCTATAGATTTTTCATGTAATCCTTTTTATTTGTGTAAGTTGGTGGTAATGTCTCCCCTTTCATTCCTAATTTAAATAATGTCTTCTCTTTCTTTTTTCTTGGTCAGCCTAGATAAAGGTTTGTCTGCAAAGAACTAATTATTGGCTTTGTTGATTTTCTCTATTGTTTTTCTGGTCCCTCATTCATTTCTGCTCTGACCTTTATTGATTCCTTCTTTCTGCTTGCTTGGGTTCACTTTGCTTATCTTTCCCTAGTTTCTTAAGGTGACAGGTTAGGTTGTTAATTTGAAATATTTCTTTTTCTAAGGTGTAGTTGAGGTTTTGAGGCTCCCTATTCCTGGTTCTTATTATCTCTCTTACCCATCATTCCAGGGCATGCATGCATTCATTTATTTTTAATAATTGTCGGAACACATTCCCTGATTTTACCCCTGAGCAGGGGTCAGCAAACTTCTGTAAAGGGCCAGATCATAAATATTTTGGGTTTTGTGGGTCACATGACTTTGTCACAACTATTCAATCCTGCCATTATAGTGTGAATGTAACCAGATAAACAGCATTAAAAAAAATGGGTATGGCTATGTCCCAGTACAACTTTATTTGCCAAAATAATCAGCAGTAGGATTTAGCCAGCGAACCAAAGTTTGTCAAACCCTTCCCTAGAACATAAAAATTAAGGAGATATAAACACCTAAAGTAACAATTTTAAAAGTTTGCAGGCCAGGAGCAGTTGCTTACTCCTGTAATCCCAGCATTTTGGGAGGCCAAGGCGGGTGGATCACCTGAGGTCAAGGGTTCGAGACCAGCCTGACCAACATGGTAAAACTCTATCTCTACTAAATACAAAAAAATTAGCCAGGCATGGTGGCACATGCCTGTAATCCCAGCTGCTTGGGAGGCTGAGGCAGGAGAATTGCTTGAACCCAGGAGCAGAGGCTGCGGTAAGCTGTACACCACTTCACTTCGGCCTGGGCAACAGAGTGAGACTCCATTTCAAAATAAAATAAAATAAAAGCTTGCAAAGGCTCATCATTGCCCTGCATTCTCCGAAACCCTTCCCCTTTCATCTCTCTCAGATGTTGGTGGCAGGGCTTGCTCTGTGGGACCAAACTGTTTGGCAGAGGAGGAGATGACAAACTAGAAACTCCCCTCACTCCCTACTCCACTTACCTGTGTGGTCCTGAGGGTTCTTGGGGACTGTTTACCCTGAACACCAAAATGTCTATCTTCAGCCGGCGCTGAAGAACATTCATTAGTGGCTCACATGCTTTGTGCTGGACTCCGTATAAAAACAATGAATAACTGGAAAGTTTTTATGGACCTGATTTGGCCTGGGGTTTTTGTTATGGGAGTTAACACATATTCAGGACACATGTGTTAATCCACCAACTTTAACTTTAAACCAGGGAGTTTGTGTCAGAAGGGGAGAGGTACTGAGGGGCAGTTCTGGTCCTCCAGGTAAAGTGGAAGGAAAATGCTTGTGATTGTGAAGGTGCAATTTTGCTAAAACAATTACCTTGGAATGGAACCTTACTCCCTGAAAATAGGCCACCTTCTCTCTTTAAAATGGTGAACAACACCGCCTGTGTCTTGTGAGAAGGAATTAGAAGTTTCTCTGCAGAGAATGAGAAAAGAAAAGGAAGGCCTGATCTAAGATTTAGAAGGAAATAGAATACTTTTAAAATATAATAAACCCTTAAGACATTTACTCATTAAACAAACCACCAGGAATGTTTTTCCAGGAAGAGCAGCATTCAGGTTGGAAGGGATGCCGCCTCCAGGGTGGCTGGATTGCTCTAGGGAAGGCCTGGCAGTTGCTGAGTGTGTGGACAAAGGCCTTGAGTCCTGGGCTGCTTCCCTAAACCTGGGCAGACTGGGCTGATGTACCCTGATTTAGTGTTTGCATAAACATAAGAGTACTTTTAATATGTTTGCTTGTATCTTTTAATAAAATTATTTGACAGTTACAAAATGATATTCATTGTAGTCAGTTAACACATTGGAGACAATGAAAAGAAAGAGTTTTCCCCACACCCTTCAGGTGATCCTAGTGTTCTTTTTTGGAAAATTTCCCTCTGCTTATACTCCTGTATTTATGGATTTTGAAGTACCTGCTTGTTTTTACAAAAATGGAGACAAGGCTGGGCGCAGTGGCTCATGCCTGTAATCTCAGCACTTTGGGAGGCCAAGGAGGGTGGATCACGAGGTCAGGAGTTCAAGACCAGCCTGGCCAATATGGTGAAACCCCATCTCTACTAAAAATACAAAAATTTGCCTGGCATGGTGGCACGCTTTTGTAGTCCTGGCTACTCGGAAGCTGAGGCAGAAGAATCACTTGAATCCGGGAGGCAGAGGTTGCAGTGAACCAAGATTGCACTGCTGCACTCCAGCCTGGGTGACAGAGCAAGACTCCGTAGCAAAAAAA